AATCAACAGAATCCAACCAGACCATCATGGAGATCCTCAGAAGTTCTCAGATCTCCAGACAAAGACGAATCATTATCTGCAGTCCAAGAGATTCCAGAGATCACCTAATTAGGAAGATTTTAGAAAAGGTAAACACGCATCAGTGAATTAAGAGTCATCATAGCTATTTGATTGGCTAATTTTATTGACAATTATCACAAAATTAATTCAAGCATCAAAAGTTTCAAAATCACTATTATAAGTTCAGTTTATTCTATTGTTCAGATTGGCGGTTTATGGTGTTTAGCGATGAACTGATTTACATTGTAAGAATATTATTATCATTTATTAATTATAGGCAAAGTCTTTCAACCTTCTCTCCAACAAAAGACAGAATTTTATATTTGTAGATCCGGTAAGTATAATATGTTTTAGGGGGATTTTAATCTTGGATTTGGAATCTATGCTGTGTCGATGATACGGTACTCTAACGTTGTCTTCTTAGAATCCCAAAAATATTTACAAATCTGTGATAGGTATGAATTAAAAGGGTTGACCTAATGTTTGGATAAATCGTTTTGTTTCAGAGCTCCTATCTGGAGCCATTTTCCGGTGCCACACAGATGTACCAATTGGGGTTGTTTTCGGCGAGAGCTTTTCTGTATGCTTTTCGGTACATACAGCCATCGTTTGGTCAACCATCCCAAGATGCTAATAGAGCTACGTCACTAGATGCTGCTAAAATAACCACCATGGCTTTAAACTATTACATCTCAACCCAAACTGTTCTCACAAATGAATTCTCGGATGATAGATTTTTGGTGGCTATGAAAAAGGTAAAACTTATAATTGTACTAAAACACATGAAGATAAATAAATGATCTCTAGAATGGTTTGTGGCATTCACGAGTCATCAGTATTTTAAACGGTACATCAAATACAAAAATATCGTACAGATCTGCATTAAATAAAGTAAACGGTCAAATCTTCTAAGCAAGCTGGACAATATAGTAATCAAGTCATCATCCAGAAATATTTCCTCGATGTATCTCCAAATGCATATATGCCATGCGTCAAACTTGAGAATTTCTGCAAATTCTGCAGAACATCTTTTAAGGTACACCTCATTTAATATATTCCATTATTTACATTTCAGGTGAATATACCATTTGGTGAAACAGGTGTGATAAGGTTTAATTCTACTGGACAGAGAATAGATTACCAGTTAGATCTATATACACATGGCGGAGAAAATATGTACAAAAAGGTGTGACATCTTACTTTATTCTGCACGAAATATGCTTGTGCATCCTTACGTGCTTATCGTTTTTTAAATTTTGTATCCCTTAGAGTCAACGCCTCAACCGAAGATCTGGCTCATACTGCATTATCGGTACATGAAAAAGAAGCATGACAGGCCAATGCAATTTTTTTTCATTATTATTCCGATATAATGCATTTGCATTTGCAGTCCCATAAATCTTTTCCAGGTAGCAGATTGGGTACCGTCACCTAAAACAGCTAATGCTAGGATGCAATGGAAACGTTCAAATAAAGTATCCCACAGAACAGCTGAGTTTGGTATCTTTCCTGACATAGTGAAAGTTGTAGTTGTACTGGTATGTATTACCAGTTTTGTAGCAGAAACAT